TGGGTCAATCGGTCGAATGCGGTAAAAGCGGGCATTCCCTACGTAGGGAGGCATCTTTATTCCGTTATATGTCAGCACTGCTTATCATCATGCGATATAATAATAGGCCGTCGGCATAATTGTTGTCACATGCACTTCCCAAATGCAATGTAGCCACATGTACTGACTTTGGTTGGGCAACATGCACTGAAGCTTTTCCAAAAGTGAATTAGATAAGTGAACATTTCTCTTATGTAAGCGCAAAGCTGCTCACGGTGCCACAGTTGAAGAACACGGAATAATTTGATGCATATTAATTTATAGGATAATGTACGCTGTTTGGTTAACTTAGTTTATGAACCTTATGGCTTTTCTTGGGTTAGCAGTACCCACATGAATACAGCGCTAGTAACACAACGGGTAAGTTACCGAAGAGACCAGGCGCACACTTATTAATTTCGCGGTGGCGGTGCTGTAGGGAATGGAATTGGAAGGGATGCACGTGGCTAACAACGTCCACAGCAAATAGATACTTATTAATAGGACTGTTTTGCTTGAGTATGAGAACAGACATTCGGATCATATGCGACTACTGTCGTCTGAGTTGGGAGTGTTCAACGTGCTCATAACCCGCAAAGCGACAATATTGAACAATGTTTGGTGGTTTTCGGTCAAGGCATAGAACGTATATGCTTAAGAACCTGAATTTTACTAGAGCAATAGAGAATGTGTTCTAAGATTATGGACTCATCCACTTAACTAAATGCCAAGTAGTGCGGCGCATGCAAGCATTTGAGTGGGCACTACTGGCTTGTAAGGATACATCATAAGACTATAGGACAGAGTGTGTCCCAGAAACGGCCGTCAGGTCGTTCACAAAATAATTAGAAAGCGGAGGCAGTTAACCTTGAAGAATAACAAGGCATGCGAACGTCATGGCGGGCAGTTGTGTACTTGCGTACCGGTTATGATATATGTGGAGTGGGCTGGGAAGTAAGGAAACATGGGCCACCATCGTTAATCTGAAAAATAATCGTTTGGAACAGCACCACTCACCTGTATACATGGGTGGCACTGCAGTGCGGTAGACAAATAACAGCGTGTAACATGTGGGCAAGGTGAGCAAGGGGCCCGGTAGACAAGGTACTTTGAAATAAACGTGAATCAGGTCCCTACACACCTACATTTTCCCAAATGTTCATTTACTGGAGCACTCATGAATGAAGTACTGAGGCGCGGCATGTTGCAATTAGCGGGAGACATGGTGCTATATAGTTGGATATTCTTGCCAACTTGATGGGTGATTTTAAGCCTGTATAACTGTCACAGAGTTGCCGTTAGTGTCTGCACTCAAGGAGACTCCCTTGGTTGCCTCGTCCGCATGACCAATGCAATTAGAATTATTATAGGGGTCATAAAATTGGCGGCATGCTCACAAAGTAACCGGCATCAATGTAGGCTTTACTAACGTAAGTCAATGTATGTCCAACAGAGGTACATTAATATTGCCGGTGGCTGTACGTGCCGCCATGAACAGTGCTTACTTAGTTCATTTACGTCCCAGGACACTGACATCAATAGTACCACGAGGTAAACGACAAATATTAACTCCACATGCCTTGAATGCGTATTCGTAGTTATCCTATATTTGTCCCATAGCGTCTGTTTCATTATGGCGACTAGCGTAGCCGATATTGTTGGCTGCACAAACGTTCGCGACCGGCTTTTATTGAGCCCATGTTAATGGCGCAGACGTGTCATCGGTACCGCCGCTAATAAAGCATACTTCGCACTCCACACGCCTCCATGAAGGTTGTTTGCTGTGCCCATATAAGTCATTTGGCGGCTTCCTCAACCTAGTTACTATGGAAGTAGCAGTCTTTGGCTTCACAGGCCTTCCTGACGGCCTCTATGTGTCCTAAACAAATGGCATCAAAATGGCCACTGGCAAAGTATGCACTAAAGACACGGCGGGCCTCCACCAGAAGTATTGATTAGGTACACATGCATCCCATAGCAGACGACATTATCGCTACGAGCGAAGCCACTAACCTGGGCTAAACTGATGTTTCAAGAAGCATGCATGGAATGGGTTTTATCAATGTCATTAGTACAAGGTTTACGCGGGTCACGAGTAATTTCATTTTCCGGGTCATGACACGCAAATGTTTGGCATCCCTTTCGCTGCATAATCACTGCAACATGTTAATGAAAGGAAAACATGCCATGACATTAAAGGCGGACGTTCGTACCGATTCCAAATATTCACCTTATTACGGGGTACGTTTCCTGCGCCCTTGACCCAAAACGCCAAGCACTGAGGAACGGTGTATTGTAAACTGTGCCACGAACTCACATAAACACAATATGCATATATGTAACGCAAGGTTGACTTACAAATTCAAGTGATACCGATGTAGGGCACATCCATGCACTCAGCGTCGATCTCACCCAATATATACGTCCAGGAGAATTATATGGAAATAACAAAGCCGTTGGATTCGGTGAGCAACACAACATCACCTAGCACGGCCGTTTAGCCTCGCAATATGGACGGGTGCAACGTAGAGCGGACCTTGTGGGCAGCTAACCGTACCTGCAGTTGCTTTCCGAAGTGAGATGATGTCCATTTCGGCCCCACCTCACTGCTGCTATCCTTTAGGTTGCGGACAGGTGGAAGCTGTTCTTCGCATCAAAAGACGTAGACTGCATAACGTTGAGGCAGGATTAATACAATGCTGTATGCAAGACCATGGTTGTCACCAATGTGCGTCAAGTACAGAGGTATCATAAAGACAATAAAGTGTCACATGTTAGCCAATGTCTGACGGAATCGGCTAATCGAAGTATCTGAACACAATGTAGTAACGGCTTATGACCTTCGAACCGTTCACAAATATTCCCGACCTTGGGGGTGAGAGTGTAAATCGTTCGTTACCCACAAAGTTTAAACGCTGAGAAATGGTCTGTATCCCGTGAAAAGATGGGCATCACGCAGTCCGAGACAGGATTGCACCACCACACAAGGAATCCTAGCGGCGCATGTCTACTGGCGGTCTAAAAGCCAGGTGTATACGTATATGCGATGCACTTACCTGAAGTGATGCGGACGACGTGCGCAATGGATCATGGTAGGTGGATACTATTTCGATTCCTGATTGGCATCCCAATCAGTAGACGGATGTGCGCGGTCCGACTGGCGGACTCGTTCAAAGCTTTGACATCACACGTAACTATTAGGTTTCAGTTAGTCATCAGTGCCTACACCCCACAAACTTAAAGCATGAATGCCGTCACTACTAATTTGGTCACGGATAGAGACTAGGCTCCCTGTTTGGGGGCCACATATGGACTACGTAGGGACGATTATTCGCCATACGACTAAAAGCGCACTTGAGCTACTGACGAGTGTGGTCGCTGGCACCGAGAGGTCAGGTCAGATTCCAAGGACCATACATGCCTCTGCCTAACCAGCGTCCTGTTTCTTGCAAGATGAGAGAACAAGGGACCCCGGTACCTCGACTTCTAACTTGTATACCAAGTGCATGACAAACTCAGGGAATGTATTAGCAATGGTCCAAAAGGGATGGGTTTGGTCCCATCATAAATCTAGTAGACAAATCAAATAAGTGATGCAGGGGAGCAGGCAAGACTAGAGAGAGAACTCAGTAGCAAAACAAATTGAAACAGCATCGCAAGAG